TCTCACCCACCGCGACCGCGCCCTCTACTTCTTCAGGGACGATCGCTTCTGGAAATTCGACCAGGACAAGCTGCAGGTGGTGGCCACCGGCAAATGGGCCACGCAGCTGGCCTGGATGGGCTGCTGGGATGCCAACAGTGAGCAGGTGCTGTTCTGAGAGAAGGGAGTCCGGACCTCGCCTGGATCGTCTGGGTGTGACTCTGGTTCCTGTCTGAGGATGGCTGGGCAGGGACTGGCTGCACATTGGAGCCGTGGGATGGTGCAGCAGTGACCCAGCAGGGCTGGGATGGAGCTGGGACAGAGCCAGGTGTGCCCCAGCCAGATGTGTCACATCCATGTGTGCCATGGCCAGGTGTGTCACATCCAGGTGTGCCACAGCCAGATGTGTCACATCCAGGTGTGCCATGGCCAGGTGTGCCCCATAGCCAGATGTGCCGTGGCCAGGTGTGCCACAAGCAGGTGGCCTGCAGGCTTCGGGACAGTATTTTTTATAATACCACAGAAAAAAAATGTATCAGCCATGGAGACTGCAAACACACCCATTTCTGTTCATTTTCAGGATGTGTGCCACAGCCAGGTGTACCATGGCCGGGTGTGCCATGGCCAGGTGGCCTGAAGGCTTTGGGACTGTATTTTTTATAACAGACCACAGAAAAAAAATGTATCAGCCATGAAGACTGCAAACACATTTCTCTTCACTTTCAGGATGTGCCACATCCAGCTGGCCTGCAGTCTTTGGGACAGTATTTTTTATAACACCACAGAAAAAAATTGTATCAGCCATAGAGACTACAAACACACCCATTTCTGTTAATTTTCAGGATGTGTGCCACAGCCAGGTGACCTGAAGGCTTTGGGACTGTATTTTTTATAACAGAGCACAAGAAAAAAATGTATCAGCCATAGAGACTGCAAACACACCCATTTCTGTTCACTTCCAGGATATTGTTACACACGTTTTTCAAACTAGGACTGGGATTTGGTGATACTTTTTTATATCTTTGTTGATACTTGTTGATATCTGTCATTTTCCCACGATCAGGCAGAGAAATGTTTCGCTGCTGCTTGCTGTGGGGTGTGGGTGGTTTTCAACAGCAGGTTGACAACATCTCCTGCTTAAAACTAAAAGAAAGGAGATATTTGGACAAAAAATTTGGATCCATGTGGAGCTTTGCCCCTGCTGTTTGTTGAGACCCTGGGGTATGGAGGGTTGGGGATGCTTTGCTGGGCTGTGCTCACATCCAGCTGGAGACACCAGCACAGTGGGATTTTGGGGCTGAAAGCAGCAGGGTTTGGTGTAGGAGAGAAAAGGGGGGCTCAGCTGAGCTGCTGGCCACAGGCAGCAGGAGCTTTGGCTTTGGGTGGGTTTGGGGTGCCTGGGTGGGCTCTCCTGGGGTGTGCCCACCTGGCAGCCCCCACTGTGTGCCTGAGCTCGCTGCCTCTGCAAGGGACAGGATCAGGGAATTTCTGACTCCCTGGGCCCCACCCGGGTGAACGGGGGTGACAAATGGCTGTGGGAGGAGGGGAAGAGGAGAGGTGAGCAGGACAGAGGGACATGTCTGTGCATGCAGGCTGCAGGGACAGGGTGGCTGCACATTCCTCATTCCTTCCCCAAGGCAGACTCCCCACCTGGAAACGCCTCTGGCTCCTGGGCAGGGTCACCAGTTTGCAAATGGCCAGGGTGTCCCAGGGCTGGGGATGGAGCTCAGCTTCCTAGGGCTGCGATTCTGAGGCATTGCTGCTGGGCAAGACAGGCCTCAGATTTATTAAGTGATTTATTGAAGCCATTTGTGCAGTGGTTCTACCAGAGCTCAGAGCCCAGCCCTGCTCTGGTCCTGCTGTGCTGTCAGGGTGCTGTGCTGGGTGCCCTCCTGATGCCAGCAGCTTCAGGGATTCCTCTTTCCCTCATTTTTGCCATTTCTAGACTTTCTCTGCAAAGCAGGGCTTGCCCTAAGCACAACAAGGGGTTTCAGCGGTACCCAATGCCAGCTGAGCTGTGGGTTTGGCAGGAAGGAGAGCCAACACTCCTCCCATTCTCCATCACACTTGTGCTGAGCCCTTCATGTGCAGACACACACACAGGGGCTTCATCTGCCCAAAACCTCAGGGGACTTTCCACATTTCCAGAGAAACTCACATTTCCATAGGAACTGAATGACAATCAGGTGACGTGGCCTGCGGGGAGTCCCAAGGGCTTGGAGACCTGACAGCAAATAAAACCAACCTCTGGATGTGTGGTGTTGGGGTTTGTGCTTGTTTTCCTGTCACACTTCAGGTTTGGGTTATATTTTTGAAAGCAAATCTCCAGTTTCCTGCCAGGGCTGTGTTTCAGATGCCTGTGGGTGTTTGGGGTTGGAGAGGGGGATGCTGGATTTGGCCTCAGCTTTCATGCTGGCAGGATCAAAGAGGGGAGGTGGATCCCACTGAAAACTCACTGATGGTGATGAAAACATGGAAATTCTCCTTCTTACTTCAACCCCAAATTACTGAGGATTTTCATTCCACACTTTGGAATGTGCTAATAGGTTTTTTCCCCAGGCTGAATTCATTCATTATCCCTTTTCCTGTCCCCTTAGGAGAAAGCCAGGCATCCCCTGTGCTGTGTGACTGGAGGCAGAGGATGGGACTAAAATCCTCTCCCTTTTTGGGTTTTCCACTCTGCCCTGGCTTGCTGCCATGTGTTTCCTGGGTCTGTGTGCTGTGGGATGTTTTGGGGCCCTGTGATGCTGCAGGGGCAGCTGGGGTCACTTTACTGTGTCCCATCAGTCTGGGGGAGCTGAACTCACACCCTGAGCCTTTCACCCACCCCTTTGGGTGCCTTGGATGGAAATCCAGCTCCTCAAGGGTTCCTTTCTGCTGCTGGGCTCCCTGGCTGGGCACATCAGACTCCCCCAGCCTGCCTCACATTCCCCAGACAGAATAGCTGGGATTCCTGCATTCCCTGCCCCAGAATGACCCGGCTGGACACTGAGCTGCAGTGGCATCTGCAGGGACAGGATGAGTCCCCACCACAGCAAGGAGCCCCACAAAACCCAGGAGAGGCTCTGCTTTGTCCCTGAGGTGTGAACACTGCCCTGGTAGATTTGTTTGGGTTTTGCAGAGGTACCTGGGTGCTGTGGCAGCTCTGCAAGGCCTGGCTTGGGGAGGGAGTGTCCCACATTCCCAGAGGTGCCCACTCATGGGCAGTTCTTTCTTTAAAGCCCCAATTCCTGGAGCCACTCCATCCCTGCAGGAGCTTTACCCATTCACCTCGCTGCTGTGGGCAATGGGGAAAGGAGTTTGGGAAGCAGCACAGAGCAGGGAAAGCCCAAAGGTGAGTGTGAAAATAAACCCTCCTCACCTTGAGGTCGCCCTGAAGATGCACCTTGTGGCCACCTCACCTGTGCTGGAGGTGGGTGTAGGGGTTTTGGGAAGGGGGAAAATCCCCCTCGTGTGGCTGGGAGCATCCTGGGTGCTGAGGAGCTGCTCTCTGACTCCTTCCTGCCCTGGAGCCAGGACCTTTGGGGGAAAATCCACCCCTGGCATGGCTGGGGAGGAGCAGGGCTGTGAGAGAGGAGCGGGTGCTGAAGGGTTAACAGGGAGTGTTTGCAGCCAATCCCTTGTCACCAAGGAGAAGCGATCTGCGATCTGCGCTTGGGAAGGAAACAAAACACCCAGCAGGGCGATTTCCTCTCCCCAGCACCACTGCAGGGCTCGGGGCACCAGCAGGACACTGCCACCACCCCGAGTGGCAGGGAGCAAGAGGCACCAGGTGAGTGTGGCTGCCGGGGAGGTGACAGGGACAGCACAGGGACAGCCATGTCCCCACCATCCTTCTCCCTCCCAGTCTTATGGCAGAATGTGGGGCACCCCGGGCACGGGGACACGCAGCATCCGTCCCTACCAGTCCAGTGGGCAGTACCTGTACGCCATGAAGGAGGACCTGGCAGAGTGGCTGAAGGAGCTCCATGGCCTTGACATCGAGGTGGGCACCTTCCTGGAGGTGCTGGAGACAGGGGCTGTGCTGTGCTCACACGCCAACCACGTCACCCAGGTGGCAGGGGAGTTTGCCCAGGTGTGCCCCGAGGTGGCCAAGCACCTCCACCTGCCCTCTGCCGGTGTCACCTGCAACCTCACAGCACAGCCTGGCACCTTCCAGGCCAGGGACAATGTCTCCAACTTCATCCAGTGGTGCAGGAAGGAGATGGGGATCAAAGGTAGGATGCCAGGCCCCAGCTGTGCCACGTCTCTGTGTTTTGCCATGTGTTCCCCAAACCCAGCACCACCCTGGCATGGGACAGCTCTGTGTGCTGGCACCCCTGAGCTGGCATCCCTTGTGCAAGTTTTCAGTGTGCTGACACGTGGCTGGAGGGTTTGCTTAGGTGTAGATATGCACAGGAGGAATGGCAAAGGAAAGGGTGAATGGCACAGATCATGCCAGGCACGGCACAATCCCAGCCCTAAGGACAGCAGGAGAAGTCCTGGCTCTGACCAAAGCATCTGTCACCCTGTCCTACCCCCATGGATGCCCAGGGAGGGGAGTGGCACAGAGCAAGACATCCTCAGGGCTCTCAGACACTGAGTTTTGCGCCTTTGGGATGCCATGAAACAGCTGCCGATGCCCAAAAGGAAAAGCTCTTCCTTCTTTATCACTTACCCCAACTCTTGTTGAACCCTGCCATATTCCTGGTGGGATGGCTCCAGCGGGGAGCACCCTTTGGGTGGGTTTTGCCTCCATCTGTGCCCCCCATCTGCTCTGTCCCCATCCCCACGTGGATGCCGTGTCCTGCCCTGCCCAGACGTGCTGATGTTCGAGACAGAGGACCTGGTGCTGAGGAAGAACGAGAAGAACTTTGTGCTGTGCCTGCTGGAGCTGGCCCGCCACGCCTCGC